GCCACCGCGCCCGCCCTGTGCCAGGCAACCCTCGGGGCGGGGCAGGAGGAGACCGCTGCCACCTTTACGCCTCGCCAACGCGGACGCAGCGACACCTGCAATGGAGCATACGAGGAGCGTGCTTTGTGGTATTGTTTATTTAGGAACCGTGAGTAACTACAGCCGTAGCGTTCTCATCTTTGCAATTCTGATGGTTTAACAAACTGGGAGAACATTAGCATATTTTTATGAAGGTACAAAATACACCCCGTTGTTGCCTAAAACATTTTAAAAAACGTGATAAAAGCTCTGTATGCTCTAAATCAGATTCAAAACCTTTCTGTATAAGGAATTGTGGCAATACCGTGTTTAGTATAACAAGAGGTTTTTATCAATTGAAAAGGAAAAGACATGCTGGCGATCTGAACTTAGCAACGAATAGTAAAGCAGTTAAAAACCCTTGTGTCACCCACATTAGCTGAGCTTTGAATGTAGAAGAGCAAATCATATGAAACACATACACAACTAGGTAATATCAAACAACCTAAGGTTGATATTGTACACACCTGTATTAAAGTAAATTGACTACTTAACGGTGAGGATTTAAGGTAATGCTTTTTAAAAAAAAGAGGTAACCTTTGAAATGCAGATGGTTGCACTTTACACACAAAAAGTGGAAAAAAAAAAACACTTTTGGAATGATACGTAGATATAAGACACACTGGTTTTGGATTATGCATATCACCTTGCAGCCTCTGATATTACCTCTGAACAACAACAACAAAAAATTAAAAAGTGACAATACTGTGAAAGGAAAGCAAAGTTACTGAGTGCATCAACCGTTTCTGAGAAAAAAAAAAACCTGGGCCTTGGATTTTTCTGTTTGGTTTTGGTTTTCTGCATTTAAAAAAAAAAAAATGCAACAGCCTTACTGGTGCAGGTTCAAGACAAAAAAAAAAAAAAAAGACAGTCAAGCTCATAAGGTAGAAATAGCTCCTACAAAGGTTAAGATTTTTTGGAAACTGCTAAGTATAAAGGAGTTTGTAATCCAGGCTACTATCTTTTTGGTTACTCCAAAAATCTGTGGGGTTTCCAGCTTACCATCAGTTGAAATCTGTTTTGCAATAGCCAAATAAATGCAAGTAAAGCATTAACTAACCTGGGAGACGGTTCATGCACAGAAACATAGAAGTCACTGCGCAATAATCTCTTTTTTCACAGCAGCATATATGAGAATCACAAATTGTTATTCGACTGAATAGAACAACTGAAAATATTCTCAGTCTTTGTATTTTCAGTCTGTTTCTTAAGCAGGCAGCTATCACTGCAATGAAGCGACAGGTTCTATAAGGGAAAGGTGGCAAGTTGTCATCAGCTGGTTAAAGTATCCCAGAAGTATCTTGGGAAACCACTTGGATATTTAACTTTAGCCAGTATTACAACAGCACTAAGAGCACAGTGAGAAAGGGCAGTAAATCTGTCTGAAGTTAGGACTATGAAATTCTGTCTAAAGCAAATGAAAAATGAACCATAGAAACATACAATTGCAATACTGGCTGCGTCATACCTTCCCTTATAGAAGATACTGCTCAGGGAGCAGCCTGTTTCTTAGTACTGGAGAGATTCACTGCGTGCCTGGCAAACAATTCCTTGTAAAGTAGATCCCAGGGAGCAAACTTGGCTGCAGTTTTGGCTGAGGAAAGGGATGGTACAGAGTAATGAGCTCAGTAAATAGACTTTTTCTTTAAGATGTTCTGAATATAACTGTAGTCTTGTTTCCTATACGTTTAATTTTAGGGCAACTTAGTTGATGACTTGCTTAAAGTAAATCCAATCCTGCTAGCAACTTAAAATTGCCTGCTGATTTGCATTAATGCCCATACATGAAGCAAACAGGTATCAACTGATCATGCTGAAAAAACAACCCTCCAAAGACCTACATATCACACAAGGTGCTTTTGATAACTTGGTTTTCTGAGCCTTATAAGGAGAGTCTTTAAATATTTTTTTTTTCAATCTTTTTTTCTTTGAGCCTTGTTTCATTCTTCCTCCTCCTCATCTTCATCTTCTCCTTCTTTTCCCATTGTCTCCACAAGGAGCTCTGCGGTGCACGTGGCTTCCCCAAGACTGTTAACAGCTTTGCAGGTGTATTTGGCATCATCGTCCCCACATACTTCAGAAATAGTCAAAGAACAGTTCCCATCCTCATCATAATCTATCTGGAAGTGACGGGACTCCTTGACAGGCTGATCGTCTTTGTACCACATCACCTCGGGGTCAGGGTAGCCTGCGAGAGTGGAAGAGAACAGCAGCTGCAGTGAGCGAGTGTTCGCTACGCTGCAATCCCTTGCAGCTCCAGTTCCCCCTCTGTGCATGGACATGCCAATATGCTGATATACAAATATTTCATTGTATTTTATTTTCAACAAATGTAGATGATATCAGGCTTTTCTTACTTCACCTTTACCCAAAATAATCTGATTCTGAATAGGAAAGAATGGGAAGTTAGCTCTGTGGTACTCACTAGGTTCCTCTTTGCCCAGCTTTAGCAGGGACTGCAGACAGCTCTTTATGTCTCTCACACATCAGCCCGCCAGGGACTCTTGATAGCACATCTGAGGCTTACCTTACATTGCAGCTTTTGTGGAAAGCACAGTTCCCAACACCGAGACTGAGAATTTTGATGGTAAAGTGTTTTGGGCTACAACTACTCTTTAAAAGCCTTCTCGGGCTGCTTTGTTGTGGCTGTTCTGAAGCTTCCTCCTAATCTTCTACGCACCAACTTGGCCTGTATGGCAACTCTGGCACTTCCATTTCCTATTTGTGTGCATTAGGGTAAGCGAGGGAGTTTAAGAAAGCATTTTGATTATGCATCTCAACAGAAGCTTTGCAGCCTTTTGTGAAGTAAATGGCTCTGCTCTACTCGAAGCACCCAGAGCAGGGCTGTACAATACATGCTGGAGAACAATCCCTTATACAGTACTCTTGGCTGCTGTAACAAGCTGAAGGCTTGTTGTCTCAGCCAAGTTCTGGACTGAGAGGGACGATGACCTCCCACTGAGCAGAACTGCAGGGATCCCTAATGCACGGCGACCATTGCTCTGGAAAGTCTGGAACATGGGCTGCGGTGCATCCATCCACTTTATTCCATGCGCTGCTTATGCACTTGGCCCTCATGCTGAGCAGCCATCAGCAACAATAACCCATCCTCACCTCTCTGCTGCGAGGCAGGAAACACAGGCAGTGAAAGAGATTAGGAGCACAGAAACAAACAAGCAGAAGGTCAGTGAGGCAGTTTCTGAACCTCATTTTAAGATTAGAAATTGTTCAACTTGAACGCGTGCAGCATGGACATACCGACTCCCTCCATTTGGTTTTAAACACTCTTCCTAATGTCTGTTTTCCATCAATAGCTGTGATGGAGAAGCTTCGATCTCTTTGCAATAGAAGTGCGAGCGGTCTTGGCCTTCAGGCTGCTTAGGCTGACCAAGCCCAAGCTCCTGAAGTGCCTTCTCATAAACTTAGTCTAGCTATCTGCATATTCTGGTCTTTTTCTTTCTTGAACTTGTAAGTTAAACCAAACCAAACCAAACTAAAAAACAACACGGTGTTTGATGGATGTGACTGTTATAACCAGTGCAGTGATAATATCATTACTTCACATGGAAATACACTGCTAGGAACTTCTTTACCTTTAATACAATGGACTTATGGCTTAAAGTTATCTTAAGGTCACCTGAAACTTGTGTGTAATTTCAGACAAGCGACTTCCTACTTACTGTTGGTTTTTGGTTAGTAGGCTCTAAGAGTGTTCTCTTGCAATTTATGTCAGTGCATTGCATCTTGTTTTTACTGTTTCTACCCTCAAAAATCATCTTGCTGTTCCCACTTTCTATGCTAAATTAGTGATTCACACACTGACTCTTGGAAACTTCTGTTCTATGGCAAGCACAGAGCAAGCCCATGCAAATTTTCTGTTATTGCAACACATTCGTGCTGTGACATGAAGGTATTAGTAAAGAAAATGCCACCAATTTAACAATAATGCAGGAAAAAAAAAGAAAAAAGTTAAACAACAGCACAATGCAGAAAGCTGTCAAGGAAGGAAAGAAAGAAACAGATACGGTAAATCAAAGTACCTTCAATTTTGCAGTCAAATCTAGCAGCACTTCCTTCCACAACCTCTATATCCAGGATTGTTTTAGTAAAATATGGCTTTACATGGGGCTTTTCTTCAGCCACTTCTTCAAGGAAGGCATCTGGAGGAGAGCAAAGAGGTATTTAATTATTGTATAGGGCACGTTCTCACAAGATGCATTTTAATTTTTAATTGCCAGATGGTAACGAAAGCGTCTTTTATTTCACTTAATTCTGTAAGACTAGTGGGATAGCAAGGACATTAGCTGCTTAGTTTTGTGCCAAATTTTTGCAGCCGGACAAAGATTCAGGCCATAAATAGAATGAAATGAACATGCAGGCCACCACGCGACTAACCATCTTTATTTTTTCCTCAAGTGTGTTTCTGACCGAACCTGGACTTTCGCTAGTCAGATGGGTGAACCAGTTTGACTTGTATCAGGCCTGTGGTCTATGTGGATATGTCAAAAAGACATGCTTAATTTGTAGAAGTGTCAATCATCTGGACCTCTGATTGTCACACAGCACAAATCCACATTTCAAATGGGGACTCAGGGCAATAATGAAGACACATTAGTTTGTTTCTTAAATGCCCCTGTCTGAGGAGCATGGTTAATGCAGACTGTATGTCTGGGTTACAGCAAGTGTTAATATTTTATGGCTTGCTCACTTGCATGAGAAGGCAATACATCACTGTAATCTTTGTATAAACATGCATTCCCAAACTGACAGAAAGTGCAGCTGACAAATCTGCCTTAATTCTTTGGCTTTAAAAAGAGAAGAGTTTACTTCTCATACTTATACTGGAGCATTTTAAGCAGAAGAACAATATGAGAAAAATTAATTTTTGATAGATTTCTTAAAAAAAAAAGAAAAGAAGATAAAAACAGAGAGAGAGAGAGAGAGAAAGCTCAGGAATAACCAACTCAGTGACTGTTCCTTAGCATTTTGCTAAAAGTTTCAGTAAGGCTGATTCACAGAGAGGTGAAAATATGGTGCAGGAAAATTCCTTACCTTCATTCTCTACTTTGTCTGCATTTATAGGGCTGGTAGGCGAGCTCCCAGAGGCCTTCCTCCCACTCATACCAGAAATCATTGCCATGGACGACAGTCTTCCTATTGCTCGGACAGCATGGCCTGTTTTCTAAGACATAGCATAAAAGGCTTCTGATCAGTCCAGTCCAACAAGCATGTGATTTTCTGTAACAATCCTGCTTCGGACAAATTATCTGGGATCTCCGCAAGCCTCGCTGGAATTGTTGGACAAACTGCTTATATATAGCTGTGTTGTTTTAGGAGAGACAGAGCAGGCTGGTCTGAATTACCAAATTTAGTTGAAGATATAAACTTCCCCTGATGAACTCATACCTAAATGAATGTCTCTGTTAGCTGTGGATAAAAAGCACTGTGCGAGAGGAGGGCCAGCAAAAAGGCTGCATCCTGCTTAGCTGGAACTTAACTCTGGTGGTGAACAGCTCTCTCAATAGCCACATGGGCTGGACTGAGTTTCATCAAGGACCAATAACCCGCTAATATGAAATGAATGAGAAAGTACCATCTGCAGGATGGAAGCAGACCTCTGACGGGCTCGAGAAACAACACCAGCATGCTAAAATATGCTCAAAGTACACTGCCATTTGTACAGCTTGCATGAACTCCTAGGAAGCATGTACAGTAGAACATAAGAGGAAATATAAGGTAGATTTACGTAAATTAATATGTTGTAGAGTACTCAAAAGGCTGGGTCCAGGATTTTATACACCAAACCCCCTAGCCATCAGAACAGCATAGTTGCATCTGCTACAACAGTTCCAGCATTAAGAAAAAAGAAGAAACAGAGACCAAAAACATCAAAGAAAATTATTAACCAATCTGACTGAATTAATTATAAGCTTGGTATTCTGACAGGACAGAACCACTGGCTTAGGAGAATGAAACTACCAGAAAATGAGGTATCTTCAGAGAGACCAGGTGGATAAGCTTTTCCCTAGCTGTTCAGGTTTGTTAAGGATAACATAATCCCCCATCCCTCAGTGGCAGGGAGGAGAGGTGGCCATTCCCCCAAAAGAACAGGAAGAACTGTACTTGAACTCATATGCCTTTTAGTAGCCTGAAGTGGAATCATCACGTGTTACATATCTGCAGCCGTGCACCCTTCAGCTGCTCGCCCGTGGAGCCCAAACCTGCTTTACTGCATTCATGCTTTGGTCACACTGGAGTTCTCACTGGCAGCAGAAACCACCTGGCATGGCAAGTTCCTCAGAATCATAAATATTAGAAATAAAGAGACCTATTAGGATAAGTAGCCCAATTCTGTGTCCTCTTCATTACCTGCCATTTTCTTCTGGCCATGTATTTCTTCATCCTATCTTTGGAAAGTTTTTTGGCTTCCATGTTTTTGGTGTCTTTTTGCAGCCACGGATGCTGAAGACATTGAGTACAATTTAAACGACTCCTGTTTTTATATAAAAAATACTAGTCAGTGTTGCCATTAACAACAGCGGAACCTACCTGCTGTAACATGAACTTGCACTCTCTTTTCTGAGAGCTAATTTTTTTGTTTCCTAAATTTAGCAATGAGGATCACATGGCACTGCTTTCCCAGCCATGCTTACTTCTTAAAACTCACTTTCACAATTTCCATGGAGTTTTTTTTTTTTTTTTAGAAAACCCTGCATTTTTAAGCATTAATAAAACATTGTAAAACAAAGCATGAAAAGCCATATGTTTTAGGCAGCAAACACATAGAGCAGAGCCACAACGACAATGATTCAGCTAACTCATGCTGGCAGAACCCTGTCCTGGATCCACTTCCTTCACTTACAGAGATTTCCCCTTTCCCACCACTTAATACCCTCCTTCCCTGCAGCACAGCACATTTAAGCAGAAACGTCCAAATCTCTAATCAAGCCACACCTATTCTTCCCTTTGTTTGTGGTACACAGATAAATAACCCGCTGTTCTCCATCCATCTGATTGCAAACTCATTGGAGAATTATGTTTTCTTTCCTTGGTTTGTTCAGATCTGCTGTAAACTGGGCTTTCAACTCTGCCTTTTTTTTTTCCTTGCCCAATTACTAGATTAATAGGACAGCTGCCTACTTAGAGGTACCACGCTTAAAAGCAACACATGGCAATAAATCCGGCAAAACTGCAATCCATTCAGATCAAGATGGAACGTGTCACGCGCAAATCTGTGTCACACAACAGCGGAGAGAAGAGTAGCCACGCAAACCCCCGGGGTGCATGCTGCCCGAGGGAAGGGAACAGCGAGCGAAGAGGCGAGAGAGGAAAGCGGGGCAGC